TATCTACACACATAATTCTGTTAAATATTCAAATTCCCTGACTTGGATCCTTGCACTATCCCTCAGTACATGAGTATTCCCTCAGCTGTGTACCTTTCCCTGCATGATGAAAATTGCATTGTTTCTATTTACTTCTTTATACTTTTGTAATATCTTTAATTCTTGTGTTTGTAGTTTTGGCTGCTTCATTAACATAAACCTTTTGACATAAATTGCATGGAATTATGTAAGTATCTGGTTTCTTGAATGTTAGCTTTCTCTTATAGAGTGGAATACTTGTAAACGATAAAAATGAATTATTCTTTGGAATCTTCTCTATATGTTTAAACTTAGTGCTGCATTTTAATCAAAAATGGTTTCTTAGAAATAGGAGTTTTAATTGTTTTGTGGTGTATGAGAAAAATGGATATAGCTTAGTGGGTTTGTAGTTTTATAAAAATAGAAGAAAAAACAACCTTGAATTAATTCCAGTTACAAGTGTGATCCAAGAAATGGAACGAGGTGTTTGTTTTCCATTCCACTTTACATCTTATAATTTTGTAAAGACAATTATAGTTGTTAAGAGAAATGTTGAAAATCCTCTCTATTATTTGCCCAAACTTGTATTAACTTGGTTAGGGACCTCCTACGATACATAATTAATACTTCTACGCCTCTCAGTATAGAATATGTGATGATGTTTGTCGATATTTATTAAAATGTTTCTAGACATCTCTAACGAAGCTTTTATGCTTACACAAGTTACTTCCAGGACATATCTGTTTCAGCCAGGGAATACCTCTAACAGATGCAAAATGAACAAGGTATTCATAAATATTCCATACAAAGACATAACAGTCAAGTTGCCAGACGCTTATGGATTTTCTGAGATTTAACTATTGAAATGGGTACTGGTAAACCATCATGTGTATTATGGAAAGTTGAGGGGAGGAAGGGCATGCTTTGAACATGACAGCCTTGTGACTGAGCCTTTTGTACATAGTTTTTACAAAATTAGTTTTTCACTGTGTTTGGATATTCAGGTACACTAATTTTGGACAAATAAACTTTAAGACATTTACAGCAGCAGTTTCAGAATGTATTTTGCAAATAATATTTTGGACGCAGGTCAAAGTAAGAATGTGGCTTACACGATTGTGTAAGCGGAGAATAGAAATCTTTATTTGTCAGATAGGACATGCTTGACCACCACCACTGGACATCCTTAGAACTCGTTTTATGTCTTATCTAGCTGCTGAAGTATGAGAGAAATACATATAATAATGCTGATACTCTACCTATAGATCAGATTCTATTGGACCATTCTAAAGTGTTAGATTAGCTACATAATACCTGTTATACATATTGCAGTGTATATTATGAGAGAAATACATATAATAATGCTGATACTCTACCTATAGATCATATCCTAATGGACCATTCTAAAGTGTTAGATTAGCTACATAATACCTGTTATACATATTTAACTGTCGTAACTGCAACTCATAGTAACTTGCCAGAACCTGTGATACCTAAAACCCAGGGGAGCAGTGATAGAAAAAATATATTGTTAAAAAAGTATAACTTTCTGTAGATTGTTCATTGTTTTACATAATCTAGAGCAGTGGTTCCCAACCTGGAAGGAGGGTATATCTCATTTACAGGTATGCCAAACATGACGGGGGTTTACCATGCTTGGCTCACTGTGAGGTTAGACGATCTCAGTCAAATATAATGCCAAACGTCTTAACACTTGTGAAAGACCTTCCAGTCTAGGGTTCTCACCAAAACGATTGTTTTTTATATACTTGTAGTATCAGGACGTACTATACGTTCCCCACCCTTTTATTTTAAAGTAAAACTTTGAATATTATGCCGTTTTTCATAGTTCCCAAAAGTTGGCGGTAGGTGTTGACTAGCTGCCTTCCTTCTAGTCTATCACTGCTAAATTAATGACAGTTAGCGCAGATAGCCTTCGAGTAGTTTTGCGCGAAATTCAAAAGAAGGTAAACCAATCATAGTTCTCCAGATGGTGTAATCGAATCCCGGATTTTAGCGTTGTAAATCCGTAAACTTTTCCCAAATGGAATAAAGCTGTACCCAAGGACGTTGCTAATTCTCACTTTCATTGGGAGGTTAACTAGGTTAAGTGAGGATAAGGAATAACAATGGGGGGTTTGTAATTAGTGAGCTGAGTTATTCATATCAGCAATTTGGGTGAAAGTTGTAAGTGGATTCTCCCTTGATTTTCACTACTCGTAAGACTACACAGACTTAACACATTAAGATTTTATAAACATTTAATATATAATTTACATGGGTTTCATCGGAGATTTCAACATAAAATGTAAACAATATTTCTGCAATGTTCTCACTTTCAGTTTCTGTTAAAAGCTTGGAGTATTTTTCTGCTCTTCGAGAACTCCCCAGATATTATGGTTAACTATCCTTTTCATTTAATCGGGCCCTGTTTGGTTTTCGCCTGTAGTTTTTTAAGCTTACTACTTTCACTGTGAGCGAACCTGTGTAAACTGCTTCACGGGATAGTGAAGCATATGTTATATTTAAAGTGCGGATTAAGTGAAGTACAACTTTATTGTTTTACATTTTAACTTGGGAATACTTTTCGTTTGCATTAATCATTTAAACTCTAGCCTAAGTTAAAGAGAGAAGTACCCAATATTCACGCGGATTGGATGAATCGTGGTATCTCGCAAATGGCCAGCAAAGCAGAAAAGTTAGACCAACTAATAACTGTAGGATCTCGGGATTGCGTGTATTTTTCCTAACAAACTGCCACAGTTAACTCCCAAACAGACAAGATACAGGTTTACACACAGAACAAGTGTTTAATGATAATCTCGAAGTAAATATATATACAACTATACACTGCAATACAGTAAACAGTTATACAGTTCAAAGTAAGGCAAGTGAATTATATGGGACTAGCAAGAGCCTTGAATACTTTAATAAATAAATGAACTCTTGTTGGGAATCGCTGGTATAGACTATGGAAAACTTTTTATGATATCTCAATGATATTTTACACAGTATAATATTTTGTTTAACTTACTTTACCCAAATGCATAAACCTACTTTTAGTACAATATCTCATCAACAATACTTTCACATGATTGCATACACACCATGGAATACTATCTTGATAATATATTTGATACACGATAGTTTTCTTTTCACCACCAAGGTATTATTCCCCCCCCCCCCCCCACGGACTCAATGTTTTTTGAAAGATTCCATCTACCCAACAATCTTGTTTTCCATTTTTCATTATCAAATAAAAGACATATATAACTGAGTGTGAAATTAAAAGAACAGCAGAATTAAAAAAAACTTACTTGCTTAATGAGAGTTCGCGGACCCCCATGGGTCCGGGGACCACAGGTTGGGAATCACTGGTCTATACGTATTTGTGTCAAATATTATAAAATAGATAATTGTTTAAAAAGTTATTTTATGTGGTGCATCACATTTTTGGAGATAACAATTGTTCAACAAGTAGTATTCCAATGTGTACATTATGGAAAGTATCATGTATATCATATAACACAAAACGTATTTTTTCGTTTCGTATGGTATCGTGTATATCATATAACACAAAACGTATTTTTTTTCGTTTCGTATGGTATCGTGTATATCATATAACACAAAACGTATTTTTTCGTTTCGTATGGTATCGTGTATATCATATAACACAAAACGTATTTTTTCGTTTCGTATGGTATCATGTATATCATATAACACAAAACGTATTTTTTCGTTTCGTATGTATTAATGGAAAATACTATAGACAAAATATCATAAGAAATAATTTCCGGCGTATATATATATATATCATAAATGAATATCTTATATGCATTTCAGTAAAATGTTCATAGAGAGCGAACCCCAAATTTGGCATTGATTTGCATTAGAGCAGAAAATAAGTAGGCCTACTAATTACTGTTCGTAACTTGGTTAACCCTTTAAAGAAATTAAACTTGCATTATAGCAGCAATGATAATTAAACTGAAAAAGTGCAAAATAGTACTTCAAGAATCAAATTTGCAGTATAGCAACCCTGTTAATGTGGGGCATGAGCCCCCGAGTTCGCTAGTTTAGCTTGTTTTAATTCTCCTCTCACGCCAACACGATAACATTCTGGTTATCGCCAGAACCGTATGTACGTATTAATGGTTTTTATATTTATTAATTTTTTCGTAGAAGTAAGGAGACATTATTAATGTAAAAGGTTGTGTTGAAGAAAACATATTCATGTGCCACCATGTGGCACTTTCACGAATTATTTCAATGAGAGCGATTAGTATTACGTTCGAAGAATATTGCATTCAGAGACGTTTTGTAAAAGAAGAATTAAAAAAAAAAGGATTTAGACCAGCCATTAATTTTATTAATTAAACGGAACGGCAAACTGACGAGCAAAGCGAGTTGGTATGTCTAGTAGTGGGGAAAAAAAAACCCAGTTCTTCACTGTATGTATGCACTTCTGTCAAAGCATCTAATATAAAATATCTTGTAAAGAATTGTTTATCTTAGTGTATTTACAACTGTGTAAAAAGTCATATAGAATGTTCTAGTAAATCACTTCTAAATGATGTACATTCATTTGTCTCAAAATATCTGGTAAAATATTCTTCAATAGTTAATTTTGGGCAAGCTTTGAGTCAAAACATCATACAAAAAATTGCATAAAATATCCACAAATAAAAGAATATAAAAAAGTAGTTTTGGTACTGAATATAGATTGGTGTGAAATATCATAGATAAACTAATATATAGAAACTTCGTAAAGTATTAGTATTTGTGTAAAATATTCCTATACAAAATACTGTACAGTAACTTGTAGCAGTGTTTAACTATTTGCTTGAAATATTATAAATAAATATTAAAAGGTCGTTTTTCGATACTATAAATCAGAATAATAGATTAAATATTAAATTCCGTTGATAAATTAAAAACGAGACTAAATAAGAATTATATAAAAGATAATTCCAACAACAAAATCAATGTCAGAAAATTCACATTTTATTCATTAGTAACAATGTTTAAAATTATAAGTAACATTGAGATCACTTCAAATTAGGTTAAATAATTCACATTTTATTCATTAGTAACAATGTTTAAAATTATAAGTAACATTGAGATCACTTCAAATTAGGTTAAATAATTTTCATCAAATCAAAACGTTTTTGAAAAATAACTCTTGTAATTTCAGTTGAGAAATTTAGTTAAATGTTTCTATTTTTCTGTTATAATAAAAATTAATAAAATACATTCTTAGCTCGTGATTTGGATTCACTGTTACTATGGCATACGTGTTTCGTTGAGCTTAACATTGAAAATGTAGTTTCGAATCCGTGAACTCCTTTCGTGTATCAATTTTCGACTAATTTTTTTAATTCATCTACTCGAAGTTGTATGTTTAGAAATAGTCAATTTTGTAAAAGATGGATTTATATCATTTTTAAAAATTGAGAAAAAATGAAACTTAAATAGTCGTGTTACATTTTACAAACATTTTGTAGGATATTTTCAAAAACCAAACAAATTTCTACGAAATTCAAAGAATAAAAAATAAAATAACGCAGCCTACGAGAACATTTTAAAATATCTTTTGTCTCGTTTATGTGTAATTTGATATCTAAATTTTACTTCATTGTTTATATTCTTCCATTAATCTAGACAGGCCAATTACAAACTTTTAGATTGGGGTCAAATTCTAGCCCTGAAGGACATAATTTCAAGTGTGGAAAACCATGTGCACATTGATAAAAATATTTTTTCTCTCGGGGGTGAGAAAATAATCCGTAATAGCTGGGACATATGAATGGTGTTTTTGTTGAGTATGGGGTTTTACTGCTTGTCTTTCCTGGTTGTTGAGTGCTTGAAGTCTCTGAAATAATTCAAAAGGATCAGTTATATTTATGAAAGTAATATGAACCTCAGTTTTGTACTTTTTAAATTAGTAACAAAAATATTATAATATTTGATTTTTTTTTCAATATCAGCTATTTCAAACGTTATTAGATTAAGTAACAGATAAGTTACCTAGGTGAGTCCGAGGGTTGGTAATGTAAAAATTTGGTTTCGGTAACCATGGTGGGCACAGCACAGATAGCCTATTGTGTAGCTTTACGCTTAGGAACAAATCATTTATAATAATTAGGAATGAGAGGACTAGTTTATTTGGTTAGATAATACACTTTGGAGACTGGGATATCTTTGGATTGGTTAGAATATGTGGCTATAAATACTGTCGTGAGCTACCAATTCATTATAGTATTAAACTACATGGTTTGTAATTGATTTCTTTAGAATGTAATAAGGATGTACCATCCCACATGAGTTAGGATTGTTGTTTGAACTGTGCTTACCGTTGCTATTTCTGCCGCTTCCTGTGACCACCTGGGAAATACTGTGGTAGCACAATGATCGGAAGAGATGTTTATTTAGACTGCATAACGACTATCTACATTATGACTTTTAAGACCATCACAACATTCACTCTTTAATGCCAGATAAAATGCTACTATTTTTTAGAAGCTAGTAGAAAGCACATACCAGTAGAATCACACCTGCATAATATTGTGAGATAACTTGTTGATGGAAATACTATCTGATTATTAAATTCATCGAACAATTAATATCTGATACGGTCAATATTTATCCTAATAGTAATATTGCAAGCACAGATAGCCTATTGTGTATCTTTGTGCTTAACTACAAACAAACAAAAAATTACTTAAACCCAGCTATTAAAACGTTCAGTATTATCCATACAAATTGTACATAGAAGTCAAGAAATGCTTTTCAATTGAAGATATGACAGAAAAAGAAATAGTAAGTATTAGTGTTTAGATATTTCTGAGATGGTTCCTTATTGCTCAGAGAGAATTTTACTTCCTAAACCATATTAGAAGCAAGAGAAGATGACTCATACAGACGGTCATTTTAATTCATTTTCTTAACCTGCGTTTAAGGTTGTACATTGTTCACCCATGCCCGTCTGAATTTGTGGTTTTATGTAGAACTGTAAACATAAGAATTACACGTTGATAGATCTTGATGGTGTTTAACTTATAGTAAGTTTGTTACACGTTCGCCAGGAGTTCTAATTTTAACATTACATTTTCTAAAACGTTTTCACTGAAAGTGGAATACAAACTAAAGTTATGTAAACATCATAAATTATATATCCAGGATTGAAGATGCAATTCAAGAAATGGTTATCCAAAGCAAGTGATGGAAGTGTAAAGTACATTGTGGGAAATAGGCATCTGAGTAAAGCGGTAAACGTGTGATATGCAGGCGTATTATATTTTTCTACCAGCTTTTATTAATGTAGGAATTATAAAAAAAATCATATAGTCTGTAGTTATGCAGTTTTAGAATAGACACGCGATCCAAGAAAACCAATGAATTATTTCGTTCTAGTTTCCTTTGTTGTTCTCTAGCAAATGGTATTTACTTTACCTTGTCCTCATATTGCTGCACCTTCAAACATTATGTAGGATAGGTTATCGACAGCATTTTCCTTCACTGGCCGAATAGATGATATCTAGAGGTTACAGTCCTTATATGTTGTAAGAGAACAACTAGTGACGTTGTGATGATTATAATTTATATTTGTTAATCTAATAATACCATATATGTTAGACAACAATTTGGAAAGTGGATATTTGAATCATGTGATGAAGGTATAAGGCACATTTCATGAGGTGTTTTTAGTTAATTACGTATAGGGCGCAATGCACAAAATTTATTTAACTATTGTTAATGTGCATGCGTAAGTAAGTTCCGGAATGAAATGATAAAAAATTTAAGGCTCAATTTGGAAGATGTAAAGTGCTGTACGTTTAAATAAAGTGATGAAAATTTAGCTAACAATATGGAAAGTGTCTCTTGCATTAAGCGGGTTTTGCATTTGACATAGGTAAACGAACTTTAACTGCTTACTTATTATCTGTTTCCAATTATAAGCTTGAAAAACATATAATTTTAGCCTATCTAGGTTTAGCGATTATTTTCTTGACCACTTTCTAGCTTCCTTTTACCTATATAAAAATGACAATATATCCATGTTAACATGCTGCTTAGAAATACGTGACAATGTATACATGTTAACCTGCTGTTCAGAGATACATGACAATGTATACATGTTAACATGCTGCTTAGAAATACGTGACAATGTATACATGTTAACCTGCTGCTTAGAGATACATGACAATGTATACATGTTAACCTGCTGCTTAGAGATACATGACAATGTATACATGTTAACCTGCTGCTTAGAGATACGTGACAATATAAACATGTTAACCTGCTGTTCAGAGATACGTGACAATATATACATGTTAACCTGCTGCTTAGAGATACGTGACAATATAAACATGTTAACCTGCTGTTCAGAGATACGTGACAATATATACATGTTAACCTGCTGTTCAGAGATACGTGACAATATATACATGTTAACCTGCTGTTCAGAGATACATGACAATATAAAAATGTTAACCTGTTGCTGAGAGATACATGACAATATATACATTTAACCTGCTGTTCAGAGATACATGACAATGTATACATGTTAACATGCTTCTCAGAGATACATGACAATATAAACATGTTAACCTGCTGCTGAGAGATACATGACAATGTATACATGTTAACATGCTGCTTAGAAATACATGACAATGTATACATGTTAACCTGCTGCTTAGAGATACATGACAATATAAAAATGTTAACCTGCTTTTCAGAGATACATGATAATATATACATGTTAACCTGCTGTTCAGAGATACATGATAATATATACATGTTAACCTGCTGTTCAGAGATACATGACAATATATACATGTTAACCTGCTGTTCAGAGATACATGACAATATAAACGTGTTAACCTGCTGCTTAGAAATACGTGACAATATAAAAATGTTAACCTGCTGTTCAGAGATACATGATAATATATACATGTTAACCTGCTGTTCACAGATACATGACAATATATACATGTTAACCTGCTGTTCAGAGATACATGACAATATAAACATGTTAACCTGCTGCTCAGAGATACATGACAATATATACATGTTAACCTGCTCCTCAGAGAAATAAGAATCACTTACTTGTCGGATTTATTTTGTCACCGCAATCAACAAAATTAGGAAGTTCACACATTGCTTCACTCTCAAGATACAGTAAATCAGAAGGACACGTTTCTAAATAGGGTTTGCTTTGGAAACATAAGTAATACTGATGGCAGTTCTTTGGGTGGGGGAAATAACCCCGTTCCACAGGGCAGACAAAAGGTTCATCTTCGTTTTCAGGTACGACCAAGCTTAATCCATGAACTGTAAATGACATAAAGACTATTTATTTTAACCACGTAATGAAATATATTATTATCTGATTTTTAACGTAAATCTTTTAATCTACCTTGATCTTTACCTTCGAGTGTCCTAATTCTCTTTACTCTTTACGTAAAGTGCCATTTAATAACCCTATTAGAAACACATCACTCTTTCAGAAACGTTTCTTTATGTTTGATAGGGTTTGATGGTTAGGGTGCTTGACTTGCAATCTGATTCGAATCCACATGACCAAACTTGCGCGCCCTTTAAAAGTGGGGGCGTCATAATGTGACAGTCAGCTTCACTATTCATTAGTAAAATAGTAACCCAAGAACTGGTTGTGTTGACTAGTTTCCTTCCCACTACTCTATTATTGCTAAATTAGGGACTGCTAGCGCAGATAGCCCTCGAGTAGCTTTGGACGAAATTCAAATCAAACCTCTGTTTGAAACTTAGAGATCTTAACTGGCAAGTGAACTGGTGATATTTATTTCTGTTATGTCTTTAAATGTACCTGTTCAGATATTCTCTAGCTTGCTATTTTTTAACTTCTGGATTACATCGAATACTTTTACAACATATTATTAGGATTCTGGGATAATTTCAGCTTCTATAACACGAAAATGTTACCACTAAGCGATCGTAATAATGTAACTATTTTATTTCTTTATTAAATGCCTTTTTTTTAAAGTTAACTATGAGTTTTCGACGGTTTTACCGGACCTTTCATTGGACAACAGAGCACTGACCAATTCAAATTCGTCACTAAAGAAAAAGTATTTAACGTAGAGAAAAGTCCCAGTATTTCTACATATCAATTAATTAAAAACGTTATGAGTTTTAAAAAACATTTACTGTAAATTTTCGTTATCATTTATTTTACAAGTATATCCTTACTATTGTATGTTTTGTGGAAACGAATTTCAACTAAATCGTGTTTCACTAACATTGTGAAACCCATCGAAGTACTATCCATGGTTCGTCGTAAAGTTAAGACTATTTTTAATCTTTCTTACAGTGCAACTTTAAACGCTAATTAAACCGATTACTTACTTGAATGCAAATTGCAGACTGGTAAGATAACCAAAATCAGACGCAGAATTGTATTCAACATGTTGATACAAAACTTATTTTAGGTTAGTTCCGAAAAATTAAGTTTTTTTTTGTTTTTCTTACGTGGCCTTGTCTTACAGTGTTGGACAAAGTATTTTTATACTGATGTCAAACATTTATCTGACGTCGTATTTCGAGTGGATAATAAATCATTCGTACGTAAAGATAATAAAATACGTCAGATATTAGTTTTGATACTTATGGAAACTGGCAAATAAACACCGTGGTAACCAACATTTTGATTCATGTGAAACTTTGTCTTATGATGTAATATACGCATTACTTAGCCTCATAAATATCTTTATACTGACTGTCCCACAGTTTCAACAGTTGTTAATGCTCTAAGGCAAGTATACGTTCTATTTACATATTCAAAGATTCGTAGATAAGTTTTATTATGAGGCAATAATTCATGATAAAATTACATTCGACTGAAGGGATATTTAGCAAAGTCAGGGCAAGTTACTATCATCGCCTCTGTGACGTGATGGAAACCATTTAAACAAAATAGGCCTATCATTTCAGCTTATAATTTGTTGTAAAGTTACCTAAGTTTGTGAAATAACAGTTCATTATTTTTTTTTTGTTGTGTGTGTGTGTGTATGATTTTTGCGCAAAGCTACACGAGGGCTATCTGCGCTAGCTGTCCCTAATTTAGCAGTGAAAGACTAGAGGGAAGGCAACTAGTCATCACTCTTGGGCTACTATTTTATCAACGAATAGTGGGATAGACCTCCACATTATAACGCCCCCACGGCTGAAAGGGAGAGCTTGGTGGGATTCGAACCCATTGTGGGAAAAGTTTGCTTTGAATAAAGAAAAAACACTTTAATGAAATAGAAGCTACATATGGAACAGATATAATAATGGTCATAAATAACATATGAATATAGTAGAATGGATAAGCTATAAGCTTATGAACGAAAATCGTTAAGAAGAGGAAAAGTCTTTGTTAAGTAAAGTAGATTTAT